GGGTTTTTTTTTTTTTTTTTTTTTGTTAAAGGAAGGCCTGTCAGTTGTCTGGGCTATACAGGCCGGCAAATGATATCCGAATGAAGCTTACCTCATATGCACCTTACATTGTACCGCAAATGATCCCCAGACCGCAATCATCAATTAGTTTTCAAAATTCTTTAGAAAACCACTCTCTTTAGTTGTCATGTGGACAATTAAGTAGTCGGAGACATGCGTTACTTGTAGGAAATAAGATCAAACATTTTCGCCCATGGGTCGTTTAATCAACTAATTAAAGTATTTCAACTGTCACAATTTTAGAAATAAGTGACCCCTCAGAGTCTGCAAGGACTTCGACTGAAGAAATGGATTCTGTAGTGTTGTTCCACTGTGACGACAAAGAACTTTTCAAGACCTTGCGAGTGCTTCAGTTCCTACCTCAGTGCGAAGTTGGTGCAGCGCTGCTATTTTTGATAAGCGACCCATTTGCTGACGATGACTACGCAAACGGCGAAAATTCTAACGACATGGCAGCTGTAGAGAGTTACGTCAAATGTATGAAGACACTGACACGCCTAGCCCGCAATCGCCGCCATGCATTAACAGGAAACCAACGAAATAAAGCGTCGAAATCAAGCTCGTGCAAAGATCTCTTGGAGGAAAACGAAAAGCTCAAGTTTCAATTCCAATGGGTTTACTTTAAAGACTCAACACATTATCTAATCCCTTTTGGCGCTGTGGTTGGTACCCTAATGCTGGTCTCCATTATCGGGACCATCTGGGATTGCTTCCACAAAAAGGAGATCTACAAAAGTGCCACCAAAAGAGGTGACCGTCTGAATAATGTCTGAATGTGTCTTAATTTGACGAAGTTAAAGCCCGGCCCGTTATACAGACTCTCGCTTAACACTAACAACTTCTGTCATTGTTGTCAGTCACCTTTTTTATGAGGACACTTTATGCCAAAGAGATAATCATTAGTTGTTCACCAAAGGTTGAGCCATTCGTTTAATATCATTATTGTAGCATAAAGGGATACGGGTTGCCAGTATCGATCAATCCAAGTACATTAGCAGTAAAGCATTGCTAACCACCCTAAAGGTCGCCGCACACGGGGGGACTTAAGTCCCTACGACTAGTCCTGCAACTAGACGTCCCCTGAAGAGTTTACACGAGGGGACTGGTCGCAAGGACTTGTCCCAAGAACACTTTACACGAAGCGTTTTGAGGAACAAGTTGCAGAGACTTGTTCCAAAAATTCAAACCAGTTTGAATTCGTGGGACTAGTAGCAGGGACCAAATTTTAGTCCCTGCGACTAGATTTTGTGGCAAAAATGGCCAGTTCACGCGATGGGACTTGTCCCCGCGACTTGTTGCAGGGGCTAGTCGCAAGTACTGGTCCCCTCGTGTGTGACGACCTTAAAATGCGTGAAGATGCTTTTAAATCATACCGTGTACGTTTTAACTAATTTTTGGCAGCGAAGCTATAACAAAGCTACTAACTCTATTATTTTTTGAAATGTATGTAACTTTTTCGTATTCAGTGTTGGAAATATTGGTTTCGTTCTTTGTTGTAGGGTTATATATACCTCAATGTTTCCCCGATACAGACAACACGTCAGTTCATGCTCAACGTCTACCTTGATTACCTTGATTACAAATGATTGCAGTTTCCTAAAATGTACTTCTTTTCTCGCATTAGTAGATTTGAAGCTTATGATGAGCTCAGCTGATCAAAGTGCAGGATCGATGTTCGAAAGGAATGCCGCAAAGGAGGAGAAGAGCTCGCTGAAGGTTGCAACTCCAGGTGATGAGAAAATCAGCACTCTTGAAATGCATGAAAGCCACCTGCCTTGTAATGTCAAGTGACTAAGTTAAAACAGTGCCTGCCGTCGCATAAAACCACTTAATGGTCCTTAAAATCTGTCGATTTTAGCCATGAA